GACAGTCTTTGAAATCGATCACGAGTAATTCAAATTCGACAATCGCGCGAAGACATATATTTGAAGTTATCCTATCGCGATGGAATTTTGTTGAAAGCGTAATAGATCTTAATTCCATCAGCGTCGATTATAATAGAAACATCAATTATGCAATAAACGAGTCGAGTTGTTAATTTTCAGAAATTACAATTAATTATTATACATATATTTAGAAGTGAAATTGCGTTTTTCAAGAAATTGCACGAAAGAATCGTCTCAAGGAGAGACTGGCGCTGCAGATTTCTGAGCGAGACTGTGTACTTGAAGGAACAGCATGCTTGAAGCAACGATTCTTCCCGATCGATCTCCACTCGCCGAGCTATCAGTCTGTTGTTAATTATTATCACGCGAGATCGTCGTAATGTTCCCGATAATTCCACGCGATTAATTACACTTAAGCGCGGAACTTGATAACGATGACAGCTGCTCGTCGTGCGTCGTCACGTGGAATTTTCTATTGATTAATACCACAGTAAATAAGAGTTCTTGTTTGTCATCGAGGATTTCGTTACAAAGTATCCGAAGTTCTAGGAGTGATTAAAAAAAGTGACTTGAACTGACAGAGGCAGATACTTCACTTTGCGTAAGTATTAAAAGTTACTCGTGCTTTGTGACAAAATGTGGCTGCGAAAATGTAACGCAACAGGACGAAGATTAATATTCAAAAAATAAGATGAATTTAGAAAAAACGACAAAATGATTGGAACACGGTTTTAATTTATAAAAAAAAAAAAGCAAAATAAAGCAAATTTATCACCGTGCGAAATAGAAGTTCGAAACGGAGATACGAATTTTCTGCAACGAGCGCGAAGTATCTTGGAACGAGAAAAATCCCAACTGATACGCGCATCGAGTTCATAAAAATTGCGAAAGTACCAGGGAGAATGACATCAAAGACACTGGGAAATCACTGAATCTTCGGGACACGGCTCTCAAAGTGCATCGCATGCATACCACTTATCCCGAGCGTAATCTCGGCACATTGTTCGCGTTTCATTACGGTTCCTTTACGACGTTCGTTCCTCCAATCGTGAGCATAAAACAACGCTTATGGAAAACAACGTATCACGCCGTTCTTTCGATGATACAACCGAGAAAAGTGTTCAAAGCTCGTTCAAAGAACTAATTGGAAATGGAAAAAATGATCAATTGCTTAATCACTTTCGACAACGAAACGTTTCTCTTTCGCCTAAGTTAATTTTGTTCCTTTAGAACGTTGTAAGCATTGTATAATTTTGTTCGACAATCATGTTTCCTCGATAAAAGAAAAAAATAATTTTTCGAGTACTAATGCAACATTTCCATTAAATGTATTTTTATCGAATTTATTGAATTTTCATCAAAGTTTTTGTTGCAAATAAAAATCAGGCAAAGTTGTAAATTCAACAGTCTGTCCAAATTTTACAGAACTATAAGTGAGACGTTTTAGGAGAATCGTCTGTAAAACGTCTCGTTAATACGTATCTGATAAACACATTTCGAGCGGCGATTTTGAAAATAAATTTGTATTATGACTTAAGTTTCCTTATCGAACATCCATCATAATTTAATCGAATGAAATTATGATCCCCCACCGTGCAGAACGACGAAACTCAGTTACCGCGGATATATCTCGATAGTAAATGATTCCTCAGACGTGGTAGCACACACGTGGTAGATCGACGACACACACACACACAGATCCATCAACTTTTACATTCGCCCAACTTCAACGGTCGTCTATTGTCTGCCAGCGAATCAGACGTGGCACAGCTCATGGAGGATTACGTCGAGCATCGTGAAACGATAACGCGAATCCACGAAATTCCATCAATAAATTAACCAACGGCGCAATTCGCCTCAGAACCGGCGATAATGCCCCGCCGGCGTTAATATCTGCCCCGTGTTGCTTTTTACGGCCTCGATCGTAACTCGCTCCAACGTCGCGAGCTCGCAGCAACGTACGACATCTGTTCGAACATCGCGAGCTACCATCGTGACGTACAATGAGATACGAGCGATAAGATTTTAGCTGAAGGTACTCGATCGAGGTTTTCGGTAGCCCGTCGGTAGTCAAAGCTGACGAGATACTACGAACGAATTGCGAGAGCTTGTGAGATTGAAGACTGATGAAAATTCAATGGAAAAAATGTTTCACTTTATTTTGGAGGAATTTCTTCATTCTTTGGGAGCTCTCTTGCAATGAATTTTTTCTTTTTCTTTTTTTTACACAAAGCTCAAGATTTCACTTTGATTTACTTCGGTAATTTGTGTCTGAATATATAGTTTTTATAAACAAATATTCGAGAAAATTTATTAACATTTACTCGAAAATATAAAAAGTACGAGTTTTCAAATATATCGTTTTTTGTTTTTCGCAAAATTATGTACACTATTAAACTCGTCGTTAAAAATTTACTCAAACTATATCTTCAGTAATTTCCAAATATTTGACAAAACGTGTTTTACGTCTCCCAATTTTCAGAGTAATTTTCACCTCTTCACACATCGAAGATAAAAAAAATTTCACACATTTCCGATAAAAAAAAATACGGGTCAAATATTTTTTTGAAAACCAGACTTATGCCAAGTTAGTTTGTGTCTTATTTGAAGAAGTTTTCAATATGAAAATGTGCAAAAGTAATTTTTTAGATGACTAACATCAGTGGAATTTCTATTTTATTCGGAGAAATTTTCAATATAAAAGTACGAAAAGTATTGTGAAATTTGTTGATTTGAAATTTTCAAGCTTGAACAATCTTGGCTGGCGGAATTGGCCGCAATCTTTGGCAAAATATTTTCCCAAAATTTCAACTATACGAGAGAATGTAGTACATGAGCTAGTAACCTCCGAGCTAGGTAGATTTTAATAAAAAGTATTATATCTGAAATGGAATTGCTAAGTTTGGAAATTACAAATATCTCAATACCACAAAAAAAAAACCACTAAACAAATTTTTCAAACAATTTCCCCCGAATAATCTAAGACTAATTTCCATTAGCAAAGCAAACTCACGAGATTTCAGAGTAAACGTTCGAGCTCCGCGGGGGAGGGGAAATTCCGTGCCAACGAAAACTTGAGTCGCGCGCGTCACGCGAGTTCATAATTATCGAAACTTTTCTTCTCTTTTCTTTTTCCCAACGATCTTCTTTGTAAGTGGTCGCAAAGGCCGAGCGACAGCGGGGCTGTGAGGGCAGCGAAAGGCTTCGTTTTAAACTCGACGCGAAGCACCTGGCTGGTTATAGTCGATAATGCTTATGCACGACTTGCTCCGACCACTTTGAACTTGGAGGGTCGTGTAAATCGCATGGAAAACGCGGCTAGTAGGTCACTCGGCTCTCGTCCGCCGTCACATTCCACGATACACGGTCCCCGACATACCGTAGAATTTTTCCTCCGGTTTATTCACTTTTACTTTTTTTTTTTTTTTTTTTTTTTTTTTGTTTTCACGTTTATAGCCAACGGGCGCTGCGTTTTCACGTTCGCGTCTCGACGCGTGATTCAGAATTTAGTACGTAGCTCTCGCGTCGCAGGCAGGTATGAAATTTTTATTTTCAAAACGAATACCGGGAAACCCGGCCGACATCTCCGTCAGCTTATTTATTTTTTTTTCTTCGAGCGTCTTATCTCGGCGTGTTTGCGAGGGCAAACTTGGCGAAAGAGAAAGTCAAAATGCAAGAGGAAGTGACTGATAGTGGCTTACTGTCGTAAAGTCGACGATCGATTACATCAGAAATTTTAACATCAACTCGAGTCTTTTTTCTCTTTTTCATTATTTAAAATCGTGTCGACCATTTGTGCGGACTCGGAACTGAAATCTTACAATTTATTACATAAACTGTCTTAGAAAGTTTTGGTATTAGTTTTAGGGCCGATTCTTTGTTCTTCAGGTTGTCATTTAAGAAAGCACTTACGTTCAGTTGATTATTTGTTCATTATTTGTTTATTACAAATTAGGAAATTTGAATCTTGACTTCTCACTCAGAGGGCAAGAATAATTCGATCTCTTGTTACAGTTAAAATACGAAATTTACTTGTAGATTTTGTCTAAAAGACAGAACAAAATATTATAATAAAAGTGTAATAAACTTAATTTTAAGATGCTATCTTAAATATTCCAGCGAGCGAAATTCATATTCATTTTGACATTATCTCAAGATATTTATCATCGTCGACGTGTTAACAGTAAGGGTGCAAACAATCTTAATATGTATCGAGGAATTCAATAAAAAAAACAAAAACTTTCATTTCTGTCACCTAGTTGGCTCGTAAAGGCTGGTTCTAAACCCTCGAAACGAGTGACCGTAAAGTTCAAAAATATACCCGCGAGAACTTTGACATTTGAGAAAATCGAAGCTCGTAGAAGTAACGCTGGAACCTTGAAAGTTTAGAAACTATACCACACACGTACCGAACACGTCCATTTTTATCAATCGTAATATCGTAAACAGGAGGTTATCGCAAACTTCTTTTTGACTGAAGTACTTATAAAAAATTCGAGTCTACTTGGTCAAAGTTCGATTACGCTGGAAAGTGTCCCGTATAATTCTCAACGTGCTTATGAATACTCAAAAGCTTCTCGTCTCTAGCCATTTGAAAACATTTTTTTTGTTTCTCGAAATTCTTACTAGACGTCATTCCAGTGAAATTATTCCGAACTAATTGCTTGCGATATAGCGTACAGAAAGCATTTACACATAAATGTATCATTTAATAGTGCTTCCATGTAACTGGAAAGATTGCTTCCACGATATGCAGGGCTTCTTTGGAAAATAATATATGCAAATACTTTCCGTAGCCACCCTCTGGTCTGGTATTTTCTCGCAGTCTTATTGTCAAGTGGCATATAGTAAGACCTAGCTGACCCACAAAAGCTAAAAGTTCGCCACCGCCGATCAATCTCCATAAATGTTCCAATTCGAAACGCGACTAGCTTCCTAAATAGGCGGCTATAAACTTGATCGGACTGCATGTTTACCAATACCATCGTGCTCGGCAGCGTTTCATGTCGCATGAAAGCGAGAATAAAGGCGCTCGTCACGTAACCCATCGACGAAAATGTTCCACTCCCAGTGTATACACTCCCGCTCGAACTTTCGAGCACCCTCTATATTTTCAAATATCGTACAGCGTTTTTGTTTGAACGTTTATGTCATCCTTGTCTTTGACATAATATATCACACACAGTTAAATGTCGTCTAAATATTTCTAAACCAACAACTTTTCGATATACATACTTTTTTTTCCCCCTTTTACAGAGAACGCGTCGATCCACGCATCTAAAAATATATGATTCCATTTCGAAGCGCATCTGCAACACCTCGTGCACACTCCGCACGCAAGATCACTTTGAGCGCGAAACGTCACGAGGCCTCGTAATTCCGATGGCGCGAGCGGCGATAAAACAGGGCAAAATTGCCAAAGCAAACACACAGTCGGTCGACATACGCTCGTACGTCTAACCGAGGGTTAAAATTACGCTGTGATTAAAGACCAGGCTTGAGATTCGTTTCGCAACCCTGTCATTTTCCTCGAGGGCCCTTAACGAGCCGCGGAGCCACCCTCCGTCTCTCCCATCCGCGCCACCCTCGAAAAATGCAACCCCTCATCGCGAGCCAAGGTGAAATAAAAGCTGTTACACTCGGTAACGAGCTCGGGAACAAGCAATAACGTCGCGTGGAAATTTATTACGGTAAACACGGACGGATCCGCGGGACTTCGTTGCTCATCGCGATCGCGTTTGTGAAACGTGCTTGAAATAATTGTAGGCCCGCTCGCCCCTTGATGCCTTTGCTTCATCCCCGTTGGGGAAAATCTCTTCGAATTCTTTTCGTACGTTTCTTTTCGTTTTATCTTTCTTTGGATCTCATCACCTGAGTTTTTGGATACAATTTAAAGATATATAACGTGTCAAATCAAATGGAAACACAGATGTGCCTGAGAAACAAATTTGCGGAGGAGATGTCTTCTTAAAAATTTGTTTCTAATAATTGTCAATTTAGTTGGATGCGGATGAAAGAATATCTGACGATTTTTTAAAAATACGAGTATCTTTGTGCAACCATAATATCGGAATACCGGATGAAACTATGAAAACGAAGAAATAACTGCTAATAAGAACAGTTGTCGCATAAAAGTTGCAAATGCAGTAGATAAATTCGACTTACGTAAGGAATTATATAATCGTGTAGCCTAGTGAAACCTGAGTAGAAAATCAACAGACAACCGCAATTACATTTTACATCGATCAATATTCCCTGAAACTTTATTGTTCCCAGCTCAACGTGAAAATAAAATTACAATCAACTAGATTCTTGTAAAAATTCCGTACGTGCTGAAACATACACGACATTAACAAACAATAATATCTTTTTAAATTACATCTTTCATTTGTGGATTACGAGTGTACATCAGACTGTTGTTAGATGCAATTCTCAATAAAGATAAACATATTTTTGATTATTAACAACAAAATTATATCACTTATTTTTCCAGTAATGATTGTCCACTTCAATCAATAAAAATTCAACCAACAGTCGATCCATAACTCGACCTATTCACTGATCGTGAGTTCCAAGTAGAAAACCACCGTCACTGATCAGACCGAGCGTTACACCGAACTGTGCAACTTTTCCAACTAAGAGGCGCAGGTATCTTCGTTTCGTAATCGTATTATATAAATCGTCGACGAGCAGTTTCGCAAGGAAATATTCCGTATCTGCGGAAGGAAACTGGCGAATTTCAGAGACAGTCCGAGATCGATGGTTAAAAGCGAACTTGGACGATTTTTGCCAACGATACTAGCGGCCTATAAAACCAGAGGCAGATACCTACCTCCCTTCCTCCCCGCCGCGCTTGGCTTCGTTATATTGGATTCTGCGAATCAATAAACTTCGCTTGCGTCACGACCACGCTGATCCTAATGCAACGAGGTTGCAACGCGTGTTTCAACGCTTCTGCAACGTAACAGAGGGAACTTTGATTCGTTTGTTGCTTGCAAACACTGTGCACAGAGAGTGCTGACTCTGGACAGTGAACGATCTTTCATTGGGATGGTTTATTAATGGAAAAAGGTAATTGTTGCACCGTTGCAATTTCTCGGATTAAATTTAAGTATTGCTGTATCGGACAAATAAATGTACACTCTGAAATATTTGCGAGAGAATGTTGCAAGTAAATTGTTGATAGCAATTATTAGGTTGTATTTACAATAGGCATTAATTAATTAAAAATAAAAAGGAAATGGAGCGCGTCTATATTTTTGTAATTATTCTATTAGAAAGATTGAATACATCTGAAACTAACGATGTATTTCATTGAAAATATGTCACTATCTTAATTTTCATTGATTAAACTCTGAGAAAGTTTCTTCCTAAATTATATCGGTTTTCGTTATTCTCTTTAATTGTAAAATATTGTTGTACTTGTTACAACAATCGGTGAAAAAGCAACGCGCAAACCGTGACCATCTATTTTTAAACCACGTGTTGTTTCAGACTCGTGCTTAAATTTGTTCAGCCATGGTGGGAATAATATTTTTTTGATTTCGTACGAGAACGAGTTGCAGTTATTATCGCGAAAGGAACCAGCGTGTGCTGGTTACAGAAAGTTACAGGTATTCGACGAATCACAGGAGTAAAACGATTATCAAAGTAGCAAAAATTGAATCTCTCAGTTTCTACGTTTGACATGTCGAACAAGGTTCACACGACACACGACATGCCACGAGCAATATTCAAGGACTGCAACCTTTCGTCGGGAGGAAGCAGAGTTGAGGAAAACGATATGTCAGACAGAGTTCACGGATGACGATTACTAAAACGAGATAAATGTCACTGCTTTCGTCGATACCTGTAGAACGATCCTTCACGATCTAATGGATAATCTCTCGTGACGATGAATATCTTGGCTCTCACTATTTTTTCTATGTTGTTCATCAAACAAATCTTTACTCTGGTCGTATAACTTTAGGCTTTATTAAAATATTATATCTTGCTAACACGTGTTTTAGGAATTACGTACACACATATTTATATTCTGACTTTTCGTGTCAGTAAATTATCAGGAACCAAGAGCTATCATCTCTTAGAAATTAAAACGACGAAAGCGATACACTAGATTTTCCCTAGAGAGGGTTAAAGCTCCAAAGTTTGTAGATCTTTAAATTCGCACGATTTTCCCTTCCTCCGGGGATTTCAACAGTCTCAAAATTGAAAGAAACTCAAGAGGCATTTACCCAAGTATTTTTAATCCGTCGTTCGCATGTTTTTCCCGTAAAAAAAAAAGAAGAGGCAAAGTTGCTCAAAAACTGACGGGATCTTTGAAACAAGAGTTTCGAGAGATGTTTACCTACTTCTAATTTCCCTATTCGCAGTCCTTTCACGTTTCGCTCTCTTTCATGGAAACGAAAAAACCAAGGAGACTTTCGTGGACCAACCAACCAACCAAAAAAAAAAAAAAAAGAAAAACGCTAGAAATTCACCGGCAGAGCGATGCTACGCGTTGAGAATGGAACAACGACGAACAATGGAACACGCCTCGCACTCGCTTCTCTGCGTTATTCTTGGCCAGCCGGAGGGCGATCCTGAAGTTGATGGATCGGCTGGTAACGCGTGAAAAGTGCGATCGTGCTGCTTTCGCGAACTTCCTCTTCCTTCGACATTCAAAGAAAGACGTATCGCGACTCGAGGAGAATGACCACTAGAACGTTCGGTGAATTAACAAACGGGCGACCGTGGATCAGATTAAAAGCTCTGGCGGTTTTCTCTGTCTTCTGGGCTGTAAAGTCGAAGACTGGAAAATGTTTTTCGTTCAGTTTCGTTAAATGGAGAGTCCCGAGTCTCCCCTTTTCATTAAGTTTTAATTGCCCAATTCGGATTCGTCGCGTATTCGTGCAGCGGAAATTTTTTCACTTGACCATGAGAATAAAACAATGTCGATTGCTAAGAATTATTAACGAAAATATAAAGCACAAGTTATTATGCTACAAGTCATTCGTCTAAAAATTTAATCATCACTTTACCGAAGGTCATCGTGCATCGCACGCTGTTAAATTTCATACGATTTCAATCATTTTAATTACATTCGATTTATTAATTCTTTCCTTCCAAGAATATTGCTCACAAACTCGACATGGAGAATCAATTTCCTCCTAACAAGCAGATAGACGTTTTGCGTCGAACAGAAAAAAAAAAAAAAAGAACGTGAGAGATTGCAACGGATCGAGTAAATAGAAGTCGATTCTCTGAATCGATTCTCTTTCGAATAAAAGTAGACACTGATTTACAAGGCCAGTAGCGTTTATCGCGTCTATCGAACTCTGTAAAACGAAACGAAGGTCCGAAATCCTTTCAAGGCACGATAGACGCATCTATTTCTCACCCTGTTTCGTCCAAGAGGGAACGAGAAAAAAAGAGAGAGAGAGAGAGAGAACTTAAACCGATGAAAATTCAACTTTTCTCTCACTCGCTCGTAAAACGTGTCTACAGGCGTTAGTTGATGGCCCAGTACAGACCGAATGTGTCCGAGAAAATTTATTTTGATCACGAGAGTGGATGAATTGTAGCGTCAGCGAGAACTCGTCTCGTTTTCTCCTCCTTCCTTTTTCTCTGCATACCCGTAGAATTTGCGTTCCCCTCCCCCCTGGCGTTCGTTTTTCCACGAATTTCCCGGACTGAATATACACTATACGCTGTAGTCAGTACGAACGAGGAAAGAGCTTGTCGAGATTGAATTTGCATTGTCGTCGAGATCGGCCGAGAACGTGAAACGCTGAAAGTGCTCCGTAAATGTTGCGATTTATTCTTGTTAATTGGTATCGGGACGAGGACGAGTCAACGTTGAGGAAAAGCGGAAAGAAAGACATTTTTCGGCATTTAAGACAATTGGGATCAACAATAAGAATGAAGGGAGGGACTTTTTTTTTGTAAATTGAAGTATTTTGAATTCTGAATTAAAAAGGAAATTCAAGAACTGAGACTTGAAGATACAAGCTTAATCACGAGGAGATGCGAAGCACGATCGATCGAGTTCTAGTCAACAGAAGTTGCTTCGAGCACACCTGGCAAACTCCAATCTCCTTTTCTTTTTCATCGTGACTGCGTTTAATCTCGCCTTTTCCCGTAGCTGGCGGAATTTATCGCCAGCACGAATTCTCGGACTTCGATATCGGAATATTAATTTTCGGCAGACGTGCGAGAGACGTTCGATCGGCTCGTTAATTATTGGCCGATTTTTCACCACCGATCGGTGTCGAGGTGAAATTCGTGTCTGTGTAAC